CTATTTTTTGGCTTAACAAGAAAATAAAAGAAGTGTCATTTAAATGATTACACAGATTTTACCCCACTAATCAATATCTAAGCAGATTTGTTAAAGATAAACTGTACAGTTTGCAGTTCTTACATTAAAATTGTCACTCATCTGTTTTGGAATTGAAAAGAAGATTTGAAATAGAAAGCTATGGAAAGAACTGACCATCTTTAGCCAAACATACATGTATAATGATTTCTTCCTTAAATGGGAAAGCATTCTTTTTGGGGTTGAGTTTGGTGAATTTTACATTATAAATCTTGTTTTGATCAAAGAATTAAAATCATACATGTTGACCAAGCACCAACCCCAAAGCCAATAGAGCCTGTAATGCATTTTTAAACTGTAATGTCTTTCTTTGGCTGTAACTGTGTTCTCTCCCTGGTATGTTTGTTCTAGTGTTTATTGTTGTTGTTTTATCTGTATATGTACTTATTTTTTATTTTTTACATATATTGTCTGATAGTCGTTTCTTTGTCCAAGTTCATATCAAATTTGTTCAACAATAACTATTTTGTTAGGACATGTATTTTCATACTGTTTTACAATTCATAAAGTTATATTATAACCCCAGAGATGGTTGTGCATACAGCAGCTGAACAGGTGTATCTAATAGAGTGGCTGGTTAGTGTATACAATTCTTTGAGATCCAACATGTTTCAAAAAGTATTTTTGTTTACTGTACTGTGAGAGGTATTCACACAGTGAACATGAATGAGTCATGCCAACAGAAGGAACACCTCACCTGGTGGCATTCATCTGGTTGTGGAGAAGGGACCACATGGACAACACTGTTGTTGCCTCTGTGTATTCTGAGGTTCCATTTCCATTTCTCTAACTTCATTACTGCTGTTGTGAGAAAAGTAATGTGAGGAACAGTTTTACAAACATTTGAAAATATTAAACCGGAATTAAGTGATGGATCAACTCTGGTCACTTTGTCTTTTACAAAAAACACAGATGGATGTCAGGCAAGTCTAAGACATCAAAAAGGCAGCAAAGAGATTCAACTGTCTAACTTTGGTGAACCTGTGTGACTTGTGGCCTCAGTTTTCTGTTTTTAGCTGATAGGAGTGGCACTTGGT